CCTTCTGTTCTCTACTCTCTCTGGACCCTCCCCATCTTAGACTCCTGCACTGAGCCAATTACAATGGTCATATTCTTCTGGATGTGCAAAGGTTACCTTGGAAGGTCATATTCACCAGCCCCATGCCACCAAGTATAACACTAGCCCACTTGTGTTCATGCACCTATTTTTGATGTGGCAAACCTTCATGCACAGGACAATTTTTCTTCCCATCTAACCTTGACTCCTCCTGCTGCAGCGTGGGCCTGTTTCCTCTCAAGCTGTCCTATGCAGAGAAAAGCAGGCTTCCAGCCTCCAAACCCTCTGTTTGCTCACTCTCATATGAAAGGATAAAGGCAGGGTATACCAGTATTGCTAATTCTGAGTCCCTGCATGTGTAGGGCACAAAGGGCAAGATAGAGGACCGTAGCCTGAGCCTGGGAGAAACAGCTCTTCTAGGAAATCATGCTGCCAAATCCTGAATCCCAAGCTCAGCCAGAAGTCTCTGAGTCTCTCTCTAGTACCATTTATTATTAAGTACCAGGTGCAGTGTTGGATATTTTTTATCTGGTATTTCATTTATTCTTTTTATTTTTTTGGTCCAGTTGTGGGGCCTGAACTCTGGACCTGGGCTCTGTCCCTCAGCTCTTCAGCTCAAGGGTAGCGCTCTACCACTTGAGCCACAGAGCCACTTCTGGCTTTTTTCCTTTTTGCTTATATGGTGCTGAGGAATCGAACCCAGGGCCTCAGGCATGCAAGGCAAGCGCTCTGCCACTGAGCCACCTTCCCAGCCCTTCATTTATTCTTTACCACTATTCCATGATAAGAAATGAACCCAGAGTCGGGGGCCAGTGGCTCACCCCTGTAATCCTAGCTACTCAGGAGGCTGAGATCTGAGGACCAAGGTTTGAAGGTAACCTAGGCAAGAAAGTTCTTGAGTTCTTATCTCCAGTTAACCACCAAAAAAAAAGACAAAAAATGGAGCTGTGGTTCAAGTGGCAAAGTGCTAGCCTTGAGCACAAAAGCTCAGGGACAGTGTCTAGGCCCTGAGTTCAAGCCCCATAGCCAGCAAAAAAGAAAAAAAAAAAAAAAGAATCCGGTAGCTATGACAGTCCTTCCCTAAGATTAAGCAGAATCTTGACCACCCTGGCTGTGTTCTCTCTGGTCCAATTCTCCTTGGTGAGTTTATGATTTAGAGGATTTTTTAAAATTTCTTCCTTCAGAAGTTTTCATCATTAGTCAATGGTCTAACACTATCTTCTCCAGGCTACCCAATTTTACCGCAGCCATGCCCCATGTGGATGGAAGAAATCAAGGTGGGATTAAGGCTGGGGTGGAGGGCACTGAATGAAGCCTTGAGGGGACCTGGTAAAGCTCCTGGAATCTAGAATGCCCCTGCCTGGGAGTGTGGTTGAGACTGTGGCACTTGGATCCCTATTTGGACCTTCAGAATTCCCTCCACAAAGGCCATTCCACCATCCTGCTTCTGCAAAGCTGGGATACCAGGCCAGACCCACCTGCCCAGGGAATGCTCAGCTTCCCCATTCTGGGAAACTGGGACAGTGGGAGCCTGGGCCAATGGGCAAGGGGACTTGGAACAGTGGGTGGGGCTCTGGGCTCAGTGTGGGTGGTACCCTCCCCCTTCAAGCAGGCACTATTAATATATGCAAAGCATATGCAAGTCACCCAGAAGAGAGACACAACATCACTGGAATATCAGGAGACACCTTGGAGAATCAGCTCACACCCCCTCATTTCACAGGTGAGGAGACAGGCCTGCACTGGGAAGGGACTTGCTCAAGGTCACACAGACACCTGGGCACTGAGGCTGGGTCTGAAGGAGGTTTCCTGATTCAGTCCAGCACTCTTTCTGTGATGGTCTTGTCTTTCTTCTGGGGAGGGGGATGTTACAACAGGGGAAAAGGAGCCCAAGGCCTGACTGGGGCCCCAGCCCAGCCTATCAGAGACCAGGGGTTGGGAGATGGATGGAACCCAACTGTTTCCTGGATTCCTTTTCCATTCTCCCTTCTCCCCTCTCCTCAGAGCAGGAGGCAGTCTGCAAAGAAACAGTGAGCATGGGCAGCAGGAAACTTGAAAGTCCAAGGGTACAAAGGGGCTTGGGGCTAGCACTGGGTAAATCGATATCTGCTCTGGAAATGGAAGCAAGCTAGCAGGATACCTGAAGTGTCTGAGGCAAGAGAGGAAGAGCCCAATGTCAGGACAAGGTGCTGCTGCGGGGAGGGGCTGGCGCCCTCACCACAATCACACACACACACACACACACACACACACACACCCCTAAACGCACAACATCCCCCTACTGCTTGGACTCTAATAACTATGGCACCTGACAGACCATAATAGCCAGCCCAGACCCATCCCTTCTGAGGCTGCGGCTGCTTTCTGAGCACACACCTCCCTCCCCCTCTTTGGATTTCAACCTTCCAGACAGTCCTAGAAAGCAAGACCGCTGCTAGGAAAAGGAAAAGAAGACAGACAGATGGGAGGGGCAGCCAGAGGGAGAAAGGGGGAGACTAAAGAAGGTTGACAGGGAGGCAGGGGAGTAGGGAGAGAAAGAACACATGAAGGGCAGAGTGGTGGAAATGGGGGCAGAGAGGGAAAGGAAATAAGGGGGAGACTGATGGATTGGGGAGATGGTAGGAAAGTCTGAGAGGCCCAGAGAGGAAACAGTGTGGACTCCAGATATGGAGTATAGGAGACCTGACAATAAGGTGCTAGGCTATCTGCAGGAGTTGAGGACAATGCCTCTCCCCCTCTGCCCACCTCCCCAGCAGCTACCCTGCCTGCCAGGAAACCCATCCTCCCTTCCTGCTTCCCTCCCTTCCCTCCTCCCTCCCTCGGGGCAAGCAGGCACTGCTTCCCAGCCAAATCCAAAGCCTTCATCTCTGCTTTTTAGAGCCTGGAATGAAAGAAGGGGAAGCCAGTGCAGCCCTCAAACCCGCTGACGGCCAGATTTTTATTATCTTTGCTCAAATGGGCCCTGGGAAGCCAGCAAGAGATTCTTCAAAGAGCGGCTGAGTGCCTCATTGAAGCTGCACCTGCACCAGCCCTCCCACTGCAGGCACCACGGGCTGGGGTACGACCTATCCCCACCCCCTCCAGCCCTGGGGACCAAGCCTCAGCTGCCAGGAACCTCATCCCTAACACCTCATGCACAGGCATGGGATACCAGGTCAGGAGCCAAGCTTACCCACCAGACCTGGGCCTGAGGGACATCTAGAGACAGCCTCTATCCCTCTCTGGGCCTGGAAGACATAAATGAAAGAAGAACAGATCTCCTTGCCAGGACTTGGAGAAGACAAGTGCTTGGGATTCCTCGAAAGAGAAGCTTTTATGGCCAGTCCTGGATCCTTCCCTAATTCTACCTGCTCAGGCACTCACGGGCCCCTCCATTCCTCCTGACTCCCCTCTCAATCCCTTTTCCTGTACCCCCTAGCCCACTATGCAGAGGAGAGACACTTGGAATTGTCCATCTTCTAACCCCAAACACAGGTCCCACAGTTCAAATCTTCAACCCTACCTCCCTTCTTTCCCCAAGACTTAACCTGGGTGGGGATGGGGAGCTAAATAGACCAGGTACTTACTTCAAAGAACCCAGTCCTTTCTCCTCACTTCCAAACCAGGGGTTTGGCAGAGAATGCTAAGGCTGGCACTGGGCAGAACAGCAGTCATGCTCTCCCCACTCCTCCCTCCCCAGCCTCTGACCACACCGTTGAGATCAATGCCCGCAGCTAAAGAAGGAATCAATGGTTCTAATTAAACCCTTTTTCTAGGGTGGGTCCCTGGCCAAAGAGACAGAGAGACAGCATTAAAGAGGTCCAGTGCCCTGGCAGGTCTTCTATACATCTTTAAGAATCTTAGAGCCATGCAGAAATCAGGCCATGAAGACCCAGACCCCCTGCATTAGACAAGCAGAATAATAAGTAAAAGCCTGAAATGGAGAGCCCTCCAGAGGGCTCATTCTAGGGCTCTTTCCTTAGAAAGGTACCCTCCCTGTCTGAGACCCCAGTTGCTTCTTCCACAGTAGAAGCCAGAAGGGGGAACCCATCACATCTCCATCCCAACCCGGAGGGTCATCACAGAGAAGCAGTCATCATGGAAAAGGCGGAAGGAGCAGGTTTAGAAGGGGGCACTGGACAAAGACCCTCTTGTCCCCAAGGCAGGGTGGCAGCAAGCCAGGGCAAAGCCTTTGCACTTGCTGCCAATGGTGCCTGGGTGCCAGGCAGTCTGGGTGGGGATTTGGGGGGGGGCATCTTATTATGGGAGCCCCCTCCCCTTCTACTTAGAGCCTTCATTCCCATCCCTTGCTTCTACACAAAGTCACCTGCAAAACCTCCCTGGACAACTCTCAGCCTGCCTGGAACACTTCTTTCAATGTGAATGCAGCCCCTGACCCTTACTCAGGGTAGCCCCAATCCAACCAGCACGGGTGAAACCCCCCAAACACAACTGCCCCCACATACATACATACACACAAAACCATGCCAGAAACCGCCACCATCCCAGCTGCCACCAGGGATGACAGCCGCACATTTTCACACTGAGTCTCCATCAAATGCATCATCAATTTTTAAAGACCAGCTAGAGGGATAGGGAAAGGAATGGGAGAAACTGAGGCACAGAGTTAGGCAGCAAAGCAGATGGCTCAAGGTCACCCAAACCAAGATACCCACATTTGGGAAGAAGATACCTTAACCGCCACCCCTCAAAAGTCTTCACAACCCACCCAAAAGAACATTTAGACCCACAGATCTGAAGTCTGCTCAGCTTCCTCCAACTCCCTCCTCCCCCACCCCCACTTTCTTTGCCTTTCTCCCAGACTGAAGCTAGTACATCTCTCATTTTGTAGGACTTCAGCCATGAACTCCCAGCTGGAGGAACCCACTGTCTTCAAAGTTGGGGGCTCTGCAGGACCTCCTCGCCTTGCAGTATGTTGAAGAAAGGGGCTGAACAGCCAAACCAGGCTCCCCTCCTTGTCCAACACCGCTGATCCGGCTCACCTGGCTCCCCTCGGCCCCCAGCGTCCCTCGGTCCAGCCTCCTCCCTGGGAGAGCGGGCACGGCCCTCCGCGGTCCTCTCCCACCAGGCCAGGGCAAAGCGCCGGAGGCACTGCCAGGGCTGCATGGGGAGGCCTGGGGCGGGGGGCGCGTACCAGCAGCCGCACACGCCCCGCCGGGCCCTGCCAGCCAAGCTGCGGAGGCACCCGGCCGGCCCCCTCTGCTGCCACCAGCATCCTGCTGCCCCCACCGACAGGACTCGGTGCTGGCCCGGGAGCTTCTGACGTAGCAGGGGAGGGGGGGTGCGTGGAGAGGGGGGGGAGCAGAGCGAGTCCCCTCCCCAGCCCCGCCCTCTGGCCCTCAGCCCTCCCCCTATCCCTCCACAGTCCCTACCTCCTCATTCACCCAGAAAGCCCTCCCCAGCTGGGGGCGCCCTCCCCTGCCCTCTGGCCTCTCCAGAGGGAGGGTTTAAGAACCAATAACCCCTCCCCCAGCCCCTCCCCCTTGAGGGCCCTCTCTACCCTCCAGCCGAGCGGGGAGCAGGTCCCCAGTTTCTGCGACTGCTGCTGAGGCTCAGAGGTCTCCAGGGCTAGGGCCTCGAGGTGCCAGGGGTGGGGTGTGGAATACAGGCTTGTATCCTGGTAACACAGCCAACCCCAGAATACACCGAGCCCCTTCCTTTCCTGAGGAGGGGGCTGGTCCAGGGCCCACCACCGTCGGCCCAGCGCCTGCACCCCATGCTGGGGCTGGGGTGAGGGGTGTGGGGGGGTGTTGCTCTTCACTTCTCCATCCTCTTCCCATCCCCCCTCCAACCTCCCCCGGCCTGCTCGGCTGATGGACCCCTCCCCTCCCCCCATCTCTCCTCTTCCTCTCCCACCCCTCCTCCACACCCCTCACCCA